AATCGCGAGAGGGGGACATCGTGAGACACGTTGAGGGCGCCCGCGTGGCGAGATGTATGGAGTGTATTATATGGGTGGAAGCCAATTATTCGTACGCCTACCCCGAAGGCAGTGATAACTCCGGGCGACGCATAATTTTGAGCACCACGAGCCCCGCGCGGCAGTACGTAACTCTGCCGGGTTTATAATGAAGATATAACCGAGCCGACCGCCGAGACATCTTTACGTTCGGGGGGAGGGGGGAGAGCGCCTGGCTTGTTACTCGGTTATGGTACACGGGACTATGATACACACTCCTCTCTCTCTCTCCTCTCTCTCTCTCTCTCTTTTACTCCTCGTTCTCTGCGCTGTGCGTCCCTTTATCCTCGGTGTCTCTCTCGCCCCACGAGTCATCGCGTCGTTATTAATCAAAGGCCACGAGCAATAACGACTGCGCCATCGCGGGACCATTTAAACGCTCGTCCACGACAGTCCACCAGTCGAGAATTATGCTCGCCGGTACTCGTCGCCGTGCGATATTCGCGCTTGTTAGGCTCGTGCACCGACGCCGATGAGCAGAATCGCTCACTCTGATAAAGTATTATTCTCGAGGAGCAAGAACAGATTTCTGTATTTTTTATTTTTTATTTTTTCGGGACATTCGGTTAAGATAAAACTAAAGAAATACTTCTTTAGTATTTATAGATAGATTCCGAGATGTGGCGATCGTGGTGCGAAGAGCTGCGCGTCGGCTTTTTGTGCCAAAAATTCAGATTCAAATCCACTCAAAACAATATAACTCTTTAATCGGTTTTAATCGATTTGGAAGCGATCGTCACCTCTCGGAAGGCAAAAGACAAACTATCGACAGTAACTTTGCCCAGGAAAGTCTTTTCTAATAGGCCGTTCGACATTAATTAAAACTGTATACCTACACTGAAAGAAGAATCTGGTTGCATTAAGAGGAAATCTGTTAGAGTCAACTAGTATGTCTGTTTGAAAATCGACGAATCAGAATTCTTGTACGATTCACCAGACGAATATGATTAATTTTTTCTTGTTAAATCTACCAGAATTTCTTGGCGATCGAATCATTTTTCTTGTTAAATATATCAGAAATTTTTGTCGATCGAACAATTCTTTCATGTTAAATATATTAAAATTTCTTTTATTGTGTGACTGAATTTCTCATATTAATATACTTTAGCATATATTAATTTTCAGAAATATAAGATTCTGAATATAAGATTCAGAATTACTATCAAAATTTGATCTCACTTTAAGAGATCTTAAAGATCTCATGATGCTGCATCTTTTATACTATTCCGTAGTGATTCTTAAATACGAGAATTGAATTCGTCCCATGCCCATTTTGTGGCGATAGAGCGTACTAATATAACCAGAAATTTTGTAAATCTAACTAGAAAATATTAATTAAATCCGTATAGTAAAGTCTATCAAACGTTCTAGTAATACAATATCAAATCCTCTTATTATAATCCGAAATTCTGTTTGGTTTCACCAAAATTCATTCAGCCATATACATCTTGTTGGTACAAACAAACCATTTTTCTCAGTGTACGGATATATACAGAAGAGATCGTCTACGCGCTGACAAATATATATGGCACGCAAAAAAGAAGAAAAATATTCCTGTAATTATTTATAGTATGATACATCATTAATGAATGTTGTTGTATTAAATAATTAAGAGAAGGTTCAAAATTCTTCTTTTTTCCTCTTCTCCTTTTACGTAGTGTGACGCAGAGAGTTGTGCATCTGCTTTTGGTGCCAAAGACGAGTTCAAATCCGATTAAAAACAGCGGATTTTTATTCAATCGCTACCTCTCGGAAAGCGGCGGCAATTCACCGAGAGTATATCTTGCCATGAAAGCCCCTCTAAATTAGGCCGTTTGAAACCGACGGGCGTTAAAACTGTAGGGGTTTTATATATCTGTGTAAATTGTAAGTAGTTCGTATCACAGATATATAATGAAGGGTCACCACGCTTCCGACAAGAGGCAAATTAGGATTCGGAAGAAGAAGAAGATTAATAAGATTTTGTCTATATCAATTTTTTGAAAATAAAATCTTATATATATAGCTTTACGCAAAAAATGTAAAATGGTAAAACTAAAATTTTATATGCGAGTTGCGCAGGAAATGATAGAGCTTTGGGACACGAACATGGTTGTCATTTTCAAATTAGTATTCCGCTGGAGCTTAATACATTTATCAATATAATTTATATATTGAAATTATTATTTCCTTTGCTTCTCTTAAAAAACTCATTAAAATTAAACTTGTTGGTAGTTATTTCTTTATAAAATTTAAAAATAAAATTATTTTAATTAACTTTCATGTCATTTGAGTGTGCATACTGTCAAAGACTCATAAAATCCTTATCGCCATACTATTAGTATTTCTTGTAAAAAAAAAAGATTATCAGAGTTTAGAATAATTTGAAAAGATTTTTTCTGTCGGAGATTCATTCAAAACGCCGATGAAAAATCAGAGAGATGACAATCGTGAGCATAAAGTTTATTCAACGTCAAATCAAGCAAGTCAAATGTTTAGTCAACGAAAAGTCGCACTATATTATTTATATACCAAATAGCTAGGTAAAAAATATTGTGGCCTGCCTTTATCCACGTCCCTGCGGCGAGGAAAATGTTACGCGATACCCCCATCGCGTAACCATTTCAGGGCACCGCCGACAGATTTTCATTTACGGATTGCAGCGTTATATGGGGATTTAAAACCCGATGCGGTATCAGGTCGGCGCACACGCACCGCTCGAATCATTCGCGGTGTTCATTTCGATTTGCCTCTAATTGAACGCTGTTCAATATTGGCAAGTTAAATAATTGTCTTTGGAAAACCGTACCGACACGCGTTAATCAGCTTCGCTATGATTGAGCGCTTCCCGGACGCGAGGATCCTGTTTTGCATTGTGCGAGAGTAAAGTATTTCGAATGTACAAAGAGATATAAGAGATGAGATTTTCAAATCCGAAGTACCTAATTCTAATCCCTGACAATTTCAGAGCGGCGGAGATGTTTCACAAAAAGATACGTATATCCTCAAAGTTTTTTTATTAAATTAAATGTGCGTGAATGTAAAATTAAATGGCTACCAGTGCGAATGCACCGTTAATAAAAAAATAAAAGATACTTCTCGTAAGCGTTCGTCAAATCTCAGCTCTTCTGACATTGACGACAACTTATTCCTAGTTGTCTTTTTATCTATTTTCATTTATCTCCATAATTTGGCGGCGTATAAGAATAGACTGTTACACGCGATACAATTCGAAGATTAACCGGTCGAAATGGGCCTTAACGTCATCGAAGCCGCGACGCGACGTGTGTACGAGAGCGTGCGAGAATGCTTCGGCGAAGTAATACGCGCCGGCTCCACGCGACCCGGCCGCTTAATCGAACCACTCGAAGGGCCACCTCGTAAGTGCCCCGAGACGAGGAAGTCCAGCGCGCAACAAGCGCCACGCCCGCGTTCGGACAGGAGAGAAGAGATAGAGAGAAAGAGAGAAAATGAAAGAGAGAGAGAGAGAGAGAAAGAGATCCGGTATTATAATCCTATTACAGATTTACTTCTTTTGTAACGCATTTAAATCCACCACCCGTATCCACCTCCCCGTCCCCCGGTCCCATCGCCGCCGTCGCTTGCGTGTGTGCACCTTTCGCGCAGTTGCAGAAGGCTTCTTCCTGCCTTCGCTCGGTCCTCTTCGTCGTTCGCTTCTTCTTCCGCTCGTCTCTCCTTCTCTCTTCCTTCTTCCTGTCTCTCTCTTTCTTCTCCGCTCTCTCCTGCCCACCGTCCTCTTTCGTCTCGCTCTTCCTCCTTCCCGTCCTCCTTCTCTTCTCCGCACCGGCACTACGGCCAACAGCCTGGCCTGACGGCTGCGCGTAAAATTGGCCGGAACGCATTTTTCCATTAGGCCGGTACCCGAGCCACGTTACAAATTATAGGTGTACTCTTATTGGAGAGCCCGATGAAACGAGGGAACCGATGCGCACTCGGCGTTTTCCTCCCTCCGACGACGACGAGCCGGGGCGACTCCGAATGGACGCACGACATACGAACGGACGGCGATCGGTGGTCGCCGCACTCGCGACGTGTGTGCGTGTGCGTAGGCCGCAAATAACGTACGCGCGTGATTTTGTAAACGCTTAACTTGTTATTGCACCAGGGATCAAAGCCGGCCTGATTTACTTGAGCACAGATTAGACGCTGTGGAAAGCGAAAGAGGATTTGATAAAATTAAAGTCCACACTTTTTAAATAATTTCTTAATTAAATTAAATATTTCTGTTATTCTCTCCAGAATAAGATGCAAATAAAAGTATAATATGGGACATTCGTCATCTTTTCTAAATTACTTTGAGATGAATTTCTTGTAAGAATGAAAATTGAACGTCATTTTTCTCTCATAATTTCTTAACGTTAAACGTTAAATATATTTGCTTTGGAACTAACTGTTTAATAAATGCAGCGACGGAACATGGAAAAGCGGCAAATGCGATTTTAATGCCAAGTCACACGGTGCTGCCCACCCGTGTTTTCCGCGGGTGTGTCCCTAACGATCTCGTCGAATGCCTCGCGGCTAACTTCGTCATTTCGCGTCGCATTAACCCTGAAATACCGCGCTAGAGTTTACGATTGAACTCATATATCTCTGGAGCAGCATAAATTTTCTCAACCTGTAATATAAACCGTAAAAGAAACTTTATTTTTATTTTTTTTATGCATACAGCGTATTACGAGACATATTTTAGCTCTCATTTATGTATCTATTTATTGTAAATATAAAGGATTTATTTATTAAATGTTCAGAGAACGTAATAATTGTAAATCAGAAATACCGAGAATCTCATATATAAGTTTAATTGTGATAAAATAATATCGAATGTACCATTTAATCTCTTAAAAAGATTACGACAGTGGTTTTCAAATGCGTCGGAATCAAATTGCGGTTTGCATTAACGGCGGATTTTTTTTTCTCCCCAGCTTTCTCTTTAATGTCGAACGACCGGGCATCTTCGGCGCTCCTTCTTCTCGCGGTAAGAAGGGAGACATGGAACTATCCGGCACCCCATTCAAGGCTAAAAGGATTCGGCAATAAACAACGGTGAGTCTCAAAATTAGGCGTGGGTCGCAATCTACATCGAAACCCCCGCGGTGGTAAACTCATCGGTCTCACCCTCGCCGAAAGTTACTACAGGGTAAGTAGCCAATGGATTAGCGCTGTTACAAGGCGGGAGGAAAAGCGAGGACGACGGCGAAGGTCGTTTCTTTCTGCCTTCTTTTAGCCATCGCGGGATGTCCTTTTAATTTTGATAACTAGTGATCGTAAATATCATCAGTGTGACGTTTACTGGTGCGTTCTCCCGAAAAACTTAAGTACTAAGTATTCTTTAAACAATGAAAGAGAGAGATAGAGAGAGAAGACTGATTAAAAAATTCTCCAAATTTTAGAATTTATACATTAACTAATATTATATAGATAGATTAATTTTCATTTTTTTTTACCAATGATACAAATAACGTAAAATAATTTATGAAAATTTTAAATTTTTTCTTGATAAACACTGAGGTACGAAAAGGTTAATTTCATCGCAGAGGGAGAGCTCATCTCTTAGATTGGCGAAGATCAGAGATGGTGACGCAAGAAGCGCAGGTTATCGCGGGCAAGTGTATCTAATTACTTATGGCGTTTACGTCAACGTTTGCTGTGATTTACAACAAAATTGTAGCAACGACCTTCGGTGCAAAGGTGGATGGGGGAAGTTCGCGAAGAGAGAGAGAGGGGGGGGGAGATGAAGCGGAGAACCTTTGAGCGAGAGAACGGTTAAAAACTCCAAAGGATTCGGTCGTTTATCACGGCAGGCCGCCCGCGGGAATGGAAAGGGGAAAGGGATACAATCCGCCGGACAGACTAATCGCGGACTAACTATCCACATATTATCCACAATAATTCCACGTTACCGGAGGAGAAAGGGTGGTCCCAACAACCCCCGATCGTTCTTGCGTATCGGGACCTGACCGACAATGGAACGCTTCGTCACGTTTCGCTTCTTGGCTCGAGCAATTTTTGTCACGCCCGGAGACGTGTCCCGACCTTACCGTGTAAAAGATGGTAATAAAATGGTAATAAAATGGAAGAGATTGCTTACTATCAGATAACCGGCGTGCGTGCGTAATTATTCCAGCATGATATCTTCAAAGATCATCTCTAAACCTAAAACTCGCGGAAATAAATATAAAAAAGTTTCAGAAAGTTCGTGAATTTATACATTGCACAAAATATCTAAATTAAATTTCTTTAGATATAAATAAAAGAAGAAATAAAAAATAGTTGCAAAAAGGAGATTAATTGACACACTTAAGTGATATCTTTTATCGATCTTAGCGACTGATTTTTATCCTATTAAGAGTTAAACTTTCGCGTTTGTTTCCTTTGCAATCGATTTTGTTGCACGTCGATGGAAAAACAGCTCGAGGAATGCGCGTCAGTTGTCGACGTGCGCCATAACACGCGCGGAGAGTATTTTTGCGCTCGCGGTGCGCGCGCGCGGCCGCTCGCGTAAATATACCGGACGGTCGGCCACAATTTTGAGGTTTGTCGCGCGTAAATAAAGTGAGCTCGACCGTGGAAATTAATTAGTGTACCAAAGGGCAAAATATAGGGAAAATTGGGAACGCTCACTTTGCAATTTAATTGGGTATTCATTTAACCATGCCTACGCCACGTATAAGATTTGCATAATAGCGGCCGGCACTAATTAGCACGCTGGCGAGCAGATGTAAAGCAATTTATTAAATAACTATGTAATTCACGGCGCGAATTGCGGAATTATAAGTTTTTGTTTTCTCCCCGCTCCCGCTCTCTCTCTCTCCCCCTCTTCCCTCCCGTGGTTTTGCATCGAGTAATTTATTCACGCAAGTACGAACATTTAACAATTATCCCGAATTTTCGCCCGTGAATTTGAGATTAGCGAGATTGTAACGAGAAGGTAAACAGAACGGGCATTTTTTTTTTAGATTTCACGTGTTCCAAAACAGGAGTCGGTTAATAATAGAATTAAAGATAAGACCCACCGTACTCGCTCTCTTTCGAAGAAAGAAACTACGCAACGCTTGTTTTTTCATTCTTCGAAATGCAACTCATGTTGCTGCAAATAACAATGAATGAGTTATCGCGAATCACAAAATCGCGAGCATAATAATTTAATATTATTAAAGCTTATTTTTCGCCAATAATTCGCGAGTCTCGAAACCGCGATAAAAGCCCGTCACGTCCATTTACGAGCCCGTGGTTACGCCGGACGACAATTGGGACATATGGAGGGTCATTGAGGGAGTACGTGTTAGGGCCACACATAAAACGCCTTTAAATTATAGAGTAGGCCAAGGTCCATCCATCACAACTGGGGCCATGGGACTTACGGTCCCACAGTGCGCCGCCCCAACGTTTAGGTCGTTAGCAATTTCCTGCGCGGGACTATATCCAGGCCCAAATTCCATATGGCCCGATAATGCCCGATAATACCGCCGATCAGAAGGCCGACGCGACGATCTCTGACTTTCTTCAACAATGTTACGGCGAGGAAACCACAATGGCTCGAAAATGATGTCGGGTTTTCAGCGAACTATTACGCTGTACTCGAGTTCTTCTCTCTTTTGTGATCGTTGTTAAGACCGCAAAAGTTACTGACGTTAAAGGGGAGAAAGCCTTTTTCTGAAAATATTAATATAATTTTAATATTGTATTTAAATACTGATATTCGCACGTGATGCTTAAATACAAATAATTGTAATTAAAATAAATAAATTTTCATTAAATTCTTTATGACTATTTTGAGTAATAAGAAACCTGGTCTAAAATATGCAATCTAATTTTTACATTTGGTTTAGATGTTTAATAAATTTATTTAGCGCAAAATGCTTAGACATTTAAATGCAACCTCTCATCTTTATTAGTTTGAAATATAATATGTTAGTTGTTTGTTAACGCCTTGCATCAGATGGCATTAGCGTACAGACCGTGTTTGAAGCATTTAACTCTCATGGTAATGCACTTTGATATCAAGTCCATTTATGAATTGCTGTTAAAGACACGCAGCTGTGGGTAAGCCTTCTGCTATGTTCAGTAGATAAGTTCCGGTAAACCCGAGAATAACGGAAGAGACATGATCGATCATAGATGGAGCTAGTAAAATGTTTGATTGTGAAATTTGATCCTTCTCGAAATGTTGTTAAATAAGTATAAATTAAAAGAAAAAGAATAATTTTTGTAAGTGAATGTAAAGATTCAAACATCCTTTATATGTACTGAATTTTACAACTAAAAAATGGGACTACTGTTTGAATGTTGTGAATTATTATTTAAAGAATAATCAATTTTATTGTGATAAATTTTATCAATTTTGTTTTTATAACGCTATTTAATAAAAACACACATTTATAATATATTGAACTTAAATCGAGAAAAAGGTAACAGTAAATATATAACAGTTAACATATGTCCTTTTTTCTTTTCTTTACAAGTATTTTTCAATTTAGGGAATTGGATGGGACAGAGAAAGCTAAAAAAGAAATTTACTAACAGATTTAAAATGAACTAAAATTATTGATTCAGTGGAAACATGGATACAGAATATTTTGGAACTTTATTCTTGAAAATATAAAACAAACGTTTTTTTTTTTAGTTTCTTGTATGTATATTAACTAATTCATCAATTTATTTATCGCAGATATACAATAATTTTTAAGATACTAAAGTTATCGTATACTCAAATCAGCTTATAGTATGTAAAAGAAACATAGTATAAACGATATTAACGTCGAAAATTTCGATTTCGTATTTTACTATTTGCTGTTTCGAAATTCGTACATCAAATTTTGATTTTATTGCTACTCATATGTAGGTTTTTACGAAAGTATAAATAATATATCAGCTTATATAAATCGAAATATCTAAATATATATTAGAAATGCCCAATTAATAAGTCAATCGTATCCAACGCATTTAGTTCCAACCATTATTTCGCTTTGCGTAGTGCTGCATGTAGTTTTTTTGACAAAAATTAAAATACGTTTGTTAATTTAACAATCATAGACACTTAATATCAAAATCAATAAATTTTATATGTATATATTTGACGTTGTTAATTAATTATGCAATTATGATGATTAATTGTTATGTAATTTTAGATGCTTTGTTTTGACGATAAAATTAACAATGATGGAATTAATAATCAATTAACGATTAAGGTTTAATGATTTCTTATCTTATATTATACATTCAATAATGCTGTATTTGTTTATACGAAATTTAACAGTTTATAGTGACAATCCATTTCAGGATGTATTGTTGACAGGAAATAATGCTTGGCAATCTATATCAAATACTTATCAAAACTAAATATCTATATAAAAAAATGTAAACCCTGCAGCATTCCGAGCATTACCAAGAGATAATCTTTTTTTAAAAAGCTACCTCTTAAATATTTAATGAGCTTGATTGCAGTGATAAAATTAAATTTTATCGACACCTGCTAAATTGTTCAAATGTAACTTTTGTTTTTTTCTAATTATTATATATTTCCAAATCATTTATTGTAGTATTTAAAGATGCCTTCCATTTATCCAAGTCGACACAAGCATTATTCTATCTTTTTTCAACATTCAGTGATAGCAAAGACAATGCTAAATGGAAGATACCCTGAAATGTATAATATTTATTTTTATACGTATTCGATATTGCTTGAATATCTTATGATATTACATATCTCAAAATTGCGTTTCCAAAACTGTAATTTTGATGACATATTGCGACTATATAATTCTTCAAGAAGTAAATATAAATTTAAAAAAAAAAGTAAACGGACGTAGTCCTCGACTGTTAATTGTCGCTCTGAAGCTCGCTCTGCTCGCCGGATCCCGTCGCATCCGGCGCTTTCTGCAGTTGTGCACTCTGGAATCTCTCGTAGCCGATGCTCGACTCGCCGAAGATCTTTCGACCGGAGATTCTGTCGTCATCCTTGATGCTGACCTCCGTGCCGATCTGCACTGGCCAAGGCAGCTTACCCGAGTCATCGTCCCTGATCGCTATAAGGTTGCTCACTTTCCGCTCGTTGTTCGCGCTGCCGAATCTGTCGTTTCTCAAGTCGTCTTTGGTGGACACTCGGACTCGTCGTGAATCGTCCTCGGGATATCCATATGTACGATCGTAATAGCTCGACCTCTTCGTGTAGGGATCGTAGCCGCTGTACGACTGTTTGTTGTACCGATACTTGCTGGGATCGACGTTGCCGGGTATGCGTTTGTAAGTACCGTCCCGCGTGACCGACGTTCTAGCCGCACCCGCGTCGTACCGCGGGTGGTTCCTCAGGTCCACCGGTTTCCTCACGATTTCCGGCAGGGTGGCGTAGTAGATGACCCGCTTAGGCTTCGGCGCGGGTCGATTTCTGCCGTAAAGATCGAGGTCGTCATCTCTGTAACGATCGTAACGATCGTAGTAATACTGATCGCTCGGCATCCGCATGTAATAGTCCCTCTCCATCCTGTAGCGATCGGGATACTGGTAGCTGTATCCACGGCGATACGACGGATACTCGTAATCCCTCTCGCGTATCGCGTTCCTGTACCAGGACATCGGATCGTAGTCGTCGTAAGTCTTGGTGATCGGCAGATCCCTGGACTCGCGATAGTCTGGGTAGCGTCGATGTTGCTGGCCCGTCACGAAGTCCGCCCTAGGTGGCTGATATCTGCGATAGATGCTGGACAGAGCCGCGGCCTCTTCCTCCTCCTGTTGCTGCTGCTGCTGGATCACCTGATCCAAGGGGATACGTTGACGAAATTCCACCGAGATCGGCTGCGTCGCGGTCGACCATGCTTCGGGGGAGTTCATACGCGCCTCGCGCACGTTCTTCGTCGTCGAGATCTTCTCCATGCTCGTGTCGTTCTCCGCTTGCCTGCGAATACGCTGTACGATCCCCCTCGTGGCTTGCTTGTCGTCGTCGTCGTCGTCGTCATCGTTTTCCTTGTCCGCATGCAGGATTCTCATCATGAGCGTCTTGTGGAAAATCCTTTGAATAGGTACGGCACCGCCTGCGACGACATCGTCAGCCTCGCCATTATCGTACGAGTCCTCCAAGAGTTTTCGAAATTGCTCGAGGTTTTTATTCTCGCGAAGGGCTTCATTGGTTCCGTCTGAAAGGACGTTCGGTCCTACGAGACCTGGTGTCGTGAGGTCCGGACGCTTCTGAGTGTTTCGCGTTTCGTCGAGCGGAGCCAGACGGCCTATTCCGCTTACGGTGCGAACTTCGAACGCCGAGGAGTCCAGTCGTGGTCGAAACGGATTCGTGAGCGATTTCACGTATGGCGTAACCTGCCAAGCCTCGCCGATGCCAGCCGCGTTGATTTCAGCCAGCAGGAAGATCAACGGAAACATCGCCGATAGACACGGCATCGTAGTCTAAAAATTCAAATATTTTTAGCACATATTTTATGCGTGCACGGTGAAAATATTGCAGTCAAATTAAAACAAAAAATATACTTCTTTTTTAAAACATATTTTTTTCTAATAAAATTGAGAATAACAATAATATTGTATTATTTATTTATACGTGAAAACTATTGAATCAATTAATATAATAATTAATGTACATAATTAATATAATAATTATTGTATATGTATATTAATTATATTATTTTAGTAAAACATATAAATTTATATAAAAGTAAAGTATTTAAAATGTAAAATTTCACTCTCGCGTTAGTGGATTTTGGTTGCCTATTGAATTGCTGTGGAATAATAATTATAAACTTTTTATAAAATATAAAGGAATGTATGTTTTTTAATAAAAACATTATAATATTTCTGTTAAAATATTAATATATTCTATGAGAATAAAAATTTTATTATTTATAATTTTTACTAATATATTTTTATTAGTATTATCATTCTCTCGTTACTTTGGTACTTAGGATAGAAACTCTTACTGCGAGGTTTTGTAAAATCCTGAATTTTTCTCAGATATTCTTGGCCTGAATATTTTATTTATACTGTATCAAGTTGTTAGATTTATTTATATATTACTGAAGTTTTTGAAGCTAAATTAGAAGAAACTAAAATAAAATAATAAATTAATACCAAGGCACTAATTAGGAGGACGCTCGATCGATTTAGTGCGGTCAGATTGGACTTTTTATACGTTCCTTTTCTACAGATGAAGCCCACATTCGTGTATCGGTCTGATTACTCGCGTCCACTTCGAACCGTGAATGTCACCGTCAACTTTCCACCCGAAACGCTTTGGATCTGGATGGAAAAAAAGGCCGGCGATACACATTCAATGACCGTTCCGGTTGCCGCGCGGTCAAAGATCGCATCGCGCATCGTCCTCCAATGTAGACACGGCCGATTCTCCATGACAAATATAATTTCGCCTGCCGTTTCCGCGGCATTATGCCGAGTTCCGGCCGACTCGCATAGATCCGCCCGGACGATTGTTCGCCCGAGCACGCTTACCATAGCTCGAGATCGCGCCAGATTTCCGTCGACGAAAGTTCAATGCTTCACGCTATCGCGTTCGAAATTACGACAACAAAAGAAATTGTGCGTGGCGTTCCAGATACACCTATCTCTTCAACGTTTTACTTTTACTACGTTTTATTTTACAATTTTTTCTTATTTTTCTGAAAGAAATTTTTTGCCTTTTTTTCAAAAGTTTTTTTCATATTTGTGCGATAGACAATTTGGACTTGATCCATGTGCGAATAATCTCAGAGAGTGCAAGGGGTCGAAAACTGTAAAAGGAATAACGTGACTTCGTGATTGCGAACGCGATACTGTTTCACGGTACAAGGTTTTTACTGACGAACGTTGACAGTTTCCGGTTACATGCCGAGTCATTCCGCCACAGTTATAGGCATGCTCGTTATGTCGCGAGCATCGGTAATAGACGAACTGCAGTCGGCGTTGAGCGCAGGAGTTCGGTATCTTTAGCGATATAGCGGAACAAATCTTCAGAGTGTAGGACGACGATCTTGCGCCGTTATCGCCGCGCGGCGTCGCGTCGTCGCACAGTTATGCTTGCGGTTTACAGTTAGACGCCGACGAGACTGCCTCGTAATTAAGGATCTTCTCTTAATTGGTCACGCGACCGAGGCAGGACACTGAATCGCGACGAAATTGGACGATGTTGTTTACCGCGACGGAAATTGGAACGTGGAGAACATGATATGCATAGCGGGAAACGATCATTGTTTTTTAACGGGTCGGCTGATGTATTCAAGGAAGGAAAGATGGAGGAAAGTCAGATTTCAAGCACTTGAGAAATAAATTTGGAAACTGCGGCTCCATTCTAGTAAACAATACATGCTGACGTGCATATGTATGCATATATATTAGATTGACCAGAAAGTCTTTTCGTATTTTATGCAAGTAAGACTCGGAATTCGAAAAGATTTCTGACCAACTTGATATATTTTAATTTCAAAATTTAATATTTCAGTCTTATTATATTTTTTTGAAAAATCTAGTACCATTTATAAAACAGTATACAATCTATGGCAAATATAAAAAATATATTAATTATTAAAGTTGTAATAATTAAGTAAAAATATATTTGTGAACAATTTAAATTTATTTTAAAAATTTTAAATTTGATAATAAAATACTCGCTATATATAATACTAATAAATTTTTATATCGAGTGCAGATTTTGTACGTAATTATTTTGCCAATAAAAGCACGATAATTATTTTCTCTACATTGCAACGTCATTAAATATCTCGCCAAATTTTAATTTACTCAATTCCCGTATATATCATTTTAATTGGCTTATGTTCCGCCCCCTCCCCCCTTTTGTTCAATGTGCTACTCGACATAAACTGGAATTCATTATGTTCATAAAAAATTTATCACATTAAAGTTATACCGTAATGTGCTAACACGATGATATAATAGCGTTTGAAAAGTTTATAAGTCCCTGTAATTGGCGCATCGTGCATCGTACAGTATGCAATTTTCAAAATGTGCTGTGTAATAAAATCAAATCTTTTTATTTGAGGAGCGCGTTTCTAAGAATGAAGCGTGCGAATCGGTAATCGCAAGTGATCACAAAGATCGTCGTGCAGCCCTATAAATTTGAGCGAAAAGAAAAAAATTATACGCCAACAGATCGAATGGTGATAAAATAATCAACAATATATTTGTTTGTATTCAGAGAGATGCGAAGGGAGAATACATATTAATTCGAAATCACCTACGCTAGAGGCGAGGGAAGTGTGTTAGTGTAAATTTCGATAAATGATGTACCTGCTATCCACCTGTGGGTCTCGCGGATGTCGTTGACTGTACGGAGTGACTGTGATTACTACCGCGCAGTAGTCCACAGGCGGTCGGTTTACCCGGGCTCCATATCTGCATACCGTTCAGTTTGTCGCAAGTGAAACATGCCCACCCCTCTACCCACGGAGTCAACTACCGTTCACAATTGCACGTCGTTTTTAACCGTAAGGCTTGCACCGAATGATAAACAGTCGCACCGGCCACCGGAGCGGTGCAATAACCGAAAATGAAATAGAACGCGGAACGCGTTATTGCCAAAATACCGGAATTCTGAATTTATCGTCGAATGCTATAGACATGCAGATATGTATGTAGATGCACCGGATGATGCCAAATTGAGTTGGCAAACATTACAAATTTCGTTAATTTGAAGGCGTTTTTTTATAATAAAAATAAGCCCGTGTAAGTTAATTTTTAAATTATTAGTACTTAAATGTAAAATTATTTTTACAAATTAAGGATTTAAGGATTAAGGAGTTTTAAATATCAAGATTAAAAGTAGCAAAATTTTATTTTTTATTTATTTACTTTTTATTGATTTTAATAGAATTTTAATTTATTATTAACTTAATTATATAATCAAAATTATCTCGCATGCATAAAACTTTGTGAAACGTTGTGATAAAATAACTCTTTATTGAATTTAAATTTGATAAATTATAATATAGTATTTCTTTATTGATATTGGGAAATCGTATAAAACTACGAATGAAGCTTTATAAAGATAAAACATTTTATATTGCGTTTTATAGTGGTCTCTTTATTGTTATGTACCTTCATTGCATTTCTCTACGAAGTGCTGTCATCTAGCGAACAGTGGAGCAGAAAAGAGAAAAAAGAATCGATAAAGAATGAGTTTAGAAGATTGTAAAATAATATTTCTTTTTTTATAAGCGAACATATAAAAAAGTTACGAATACAGTATATAAAGATTTTTTAAATTGTATGTTATAACCTCTTTATTTTTTGTAGTTTCTTGTATATATTTCTTCACAAAGTGTTGTCATCTAGCGGAGAACAGAGCAGAAATGGGAGAAAAGAGTCGATAAAGAGTAAGTCGGCAAAGTATCAGCAGAACGTAATCAACAAAGAGGTGATTACTAATTAAAATTTCAAGAACCGCGATTCCCAAGGCTTCTTAGAATTTTGTCTGAGAGTTCAAAACTCTAAATTCTTTAGAGTGAAAGGAGCAGCAGGAGAATATAATTAGATCGAGTCAAAACTCCAAGTCTTGCGATTCTCAGAGAGTTTTATTTCTTACAAATTTTCCCTCGTGTTGCGTGCAATGCGAGTAAGAGGTGCTCTCCAAAAAGGGGCGGGTGGAATAACTTACCTGTTTCAACAAGTCGATTTCAGCCTTAATGATACAAAGTTACGAACGCTGCGATACGGACGAATCGTGTTTCTAAAGAGGAGCAAAAGTAAATCGGCCATCGATTTTTGGCTACGTTTCTTGCGAGACATAAATATCTCTCCGCATCTCTCGACGTTTTTCCTCTCATAATGGTTTATGCGATTTCACAATAACAGCCGACATACGCGACATTCGATATCCGCTAGGAAGACATGTTGAATGTTTTGTGAATCCTCCATTATCACCTAGATGCGCGCGTAGAAAAGATGACTCCGGCTGTCATATCGGATATATAGGTGTAAAAGCGCTTATTAAAGTGTTTCGCAAGGAAAAGAAAGATACGTAAGAGCGATATATATTTTGACAAACCCCATAAAATATCTGCTATGAATTATTTCGTAACAAATTCTTTCTCTTCTTTTTTATCAAATATTAAAAGAACTCTAGTGTTGTAGATCGATGAAACTGTTAAGTCGAAGAAATGTTAATACTTACAGAATTCGAGTTCAATTATGAATTAAGGAGAAATAGCAAACTTGTTTGACGTTACACATAACGTCAAGAGGTCAGAAAGAGGGTGAAGTGTAACGAGCCTCTTATCGTTAGAACAGTTGAATAACCGCGGAAAGGGTCGTAATGCCTCGCGATACTGCAATGCCTCGCAGTAATTAGGCGCTTGAAGGGATGAACGTGCTCGAAGAAGTGAACGTGCCAAGAACTGCGGAATTCCTTGTCCTTTGGCATGTCGTTAAAAACTAGTTCTAATTACGGATTGTTTACTAATTACTTACATTAACACTAAATAAACATTTTTAATTATCACATGTTTTTTTAAATTAATATCTTAAGTATTTAAAAATAAGTAAGTATTAAAATGCTACGATACTAAATTAAAAAATAAACGCTAATCAATAAAGATTATTGATGGAATTGTAAAGCGTCAATTTGTTATATTATGTCAAAGGGATGGAAAAGGGAAAAGATTCGAAGAAGACGGCTTAAAAGACGTAATATATTTTATTTAGACATTAATGATCCATAAAACATTGTTTATATATGGGGCTATAAACAAATAACTCTCGTCGCTACCATCTAATCGTGTAATAAATATTTCGTTTTACAAGAGAAAAAAACGCAGGAAGAGAAGCGTGTCAGGCCTCGTAAAAGCTCGACCGATTTTTTTTCCGGCTGTCGACGATATCGTTATTTTTCTCACGACTGCGTTGCATTTACGAATTGTGCAGGCTGTATAAAAAAATAATATATCCAGGATATTATTAGATCTTTGATATGCATAAATTACGGGAGCTGTCAATGGCAAATCACAATAGTAAAACATTAAAGACACTAAATTAATTGAGAATGAAATATATTATACTCTCCTGAGAAAAAGAGATCGATGATTTATTCCACATTTACATGCGTATGTGACTGTTTTGATTCGTACTCACGTTTACAAATCATGAATTACTTAAATATTAAATAATATTCGAAATAAAAAGTGATACAATAGTAAAGTGCGAAAAATTCGTATAAATATAATATGTAGACTTTTAAATATATATTTGTAAATTTATAAATTTTTGATTTTACAAACACTTAAATTGCTGCATTCAAATAATTATTTAAATTATTTAAAATAATCCGTATATATAAATAAATTTGTACGGATTTAGGCATCTATAAATGAAGTGTAGTATAGAATTTTAATAACATTTGTATAACAGCCGCCAAACAGAGCCTTCTCTCTTCTCGCTTTCTCTATGCTACGTTTCCTTCTTAAAATAGATAACAATTATTTAAATCGTGTAATATGATTGATTAAGAATCTCAAAATGAAAGTGAATCAGAACGGAGCAGATAACAGCAGAGAAATGGACTTGCCGTTTTAATGATTGAAGTTTAAATTCGTATCGTAATTCAATTATTAGTTCGCCATCGACATCACATTGTTTACGTGGGAGATATGTTCTTTTGTAAATAATAAAATTGGCAATCTATATTTGTAATCTACACGCATGTGCGATCGCTAAGAACGGAAGATACAAAATGTGTTCTTAATAAACAGCTTTGCCAATATGCAAGGATTATTTATATCCGGTATTAATTGATATTATAATATTTGTTGAAGAAAACTTAATTAACTCTTGCTGGAAATAATAAATAAATAATTTGTAGGATTTCTAGAGATATTAAATCCATTGATGATTTGTTTGGCTAATATGTTGTCCACAAATATTCTTATCTTCAATATTTTTGCCACCAAGATGACAAAAGCACTTGATTTTATATAGTTGAGAATAATAATAAACTTATATATTGTATACAATCTTCTAAATATAAAATTATCTGTGATTTACAGTTGCGTTACGTGGATTTGAAATCTCGTGGTTGATAAATTTCAGACATTTAGAAGCTAGACAAAAATGTGTCGTATTCAATAATCAAAAAATGTATAAACCTGGAAATTTAAAACTTTAATAAACTTGATAAACTTTAATAACTTCGGGATATGAACAAATATAATGTTTTAAAGCTTTTATGAGAAAACTGCGAAGATATATAAAATATTTTTTATAGAATATGTAAAGCTAGAAATTTAAAAATTCATAAGTCTCAAAATTCAGAATAATATAGAAAATTCAAATATCAGATTTGAAAGCAAAAATAAAAATATTCAATCCAATTACAATAAATTAAAAATATACAGTTTTAATGAATAAAACAAGTACGTAAGAATTTAAAAAATTCGCAATTTAATTTAATATTTTTTCAAAAGTAATATTAAATGTAAATAATTAAACTCAATCAGATTTTCTATAATATTTTGCTTCCATTTGGATTAGCTTTTAATAAAAGTTTGAAGCAGAATTGCAAGTGCGTAAAACGTCCATGACGTGGAACTGATATTTTCTTTTTCTTTTAAGAAAATGATCGATATTCGATCAGCCGGCATAGACCACGGGATCTAACGATCCTGAATATAATTTGTTAGGCAATTAAGCTATATACAAACGGGTGCGTTATCCTTAAAGGAGATCGATATGTCTCGTTTGGCCGGGGAAGACCGTTCCGATGTATTCTCTTTTTTTTTCTTTTTAATATCTTTTCTTTTTCCTCGTTTATTCCTTCGCCGATAATGAACCATTGGTCAAGGCCATCACCGTTCCGGAAGTTGTCCTCGAGTTCGTGTCAGAATTCAGCTCCAAGGACGAGTCCTGTAACAGAATTTGCAAAAAATTATTTCATTAAAAAAACATTTTGAAAATTGTCAGATATTTTTAACGTTATAATATTAAAGTATTAAAATATTTCTCAATAAATATAAGATTGTATCATTTTATTTAGATTATGAAGATCTAATTTGACTATAAAATTAAAATTTCCATATTAGAAAATTCAAGGTTTGATTGTAATTTATCCATGGTCATTAGCGGAAATCAGAATGGTACGATTTATCGCATGTAGAAAAAAAAAGGATATCGCGACGACATCACTGTCGCCGACATTGCCGTGGTCGTCGTTGGCGCCGACACGCCGATTTACGACGCTCCTGTTAATATGCACCCAAGAAGAACGATTCTCTATCGTGGATGACTGCTTTTAACTGCTGCGTGGCGAGAGTAACGTCAGTCATTAGTGCCGTGCTGGCTCCATTACGATCTTTACGCTCTTTACGGTTCTTAAGACACGTGGTCCAAGTCAGTATTTCTGTCATCGTGCCATTTCCAACTGTGCATCGTGCGTCTGTCCCTTACTTCCTATTGCTTGAGCCACGGATTTCTTATTTCTTATTTTTATTTGTATTGTAATGGAATGAGCAAAAATAATTAGGGAATATTTTTCCTAATTAATATACTTTAAAAATTGTTTTTCTAATTAATATACTTTTAATATTTTAATATTTTTGTTTGTTTTATTTATTTATATAAAAACCCATTTGCCATGATAGAACTCTTAACTAGAAGCTATGTTTTTTTAATTATTTTTGCAATAATTTCTTCATATCAGTGCTTAATGCTTTTGTCGCTTTCTCGAATGCGAGAATGGAGGAAAGCTGAAGACTTACAATGCTGAGAGTATGCATAATGCACGCCTGCGTTGTGTTCTCGACGTGAATCAATTCGTCGCAGTCCTCGTGATCCAACCCGTTAACGTCAGATCGAATCTTGATCGGCGACAGAGCCGCTTCGTTGTCCGTTGACTTGCCACTGTCGGGGGACGGTATTAACTCGTGTCCATCAAGTTCCTCCTCCTCCGCGCGCTCTTCGCAATCCGTAGCCTTGATTTCCTGCCATAGATTCCATAGATCAATACTGTTACGCGAGATTATCGCAGACGGGAAACTGATTAACGAAGGTATCTGCGTTGCAATCGTTTTATGCCGAAGAAGCTGTGTATGGTCGTGACAGGAAATTGCAGCAACGTTAAACGTTATTGCTACGGGTGCTTATTTGTTGATAAGCGACGCGCTCTCGACGGTTAACATTAGCGACTTTATCATCTAAAAGGGTTTTCCCATTTTTCTTTCTCGGTTCTTAAAACTCAGCACCCCAATATATATATATATATATATATACATTTTAAATTGCTAGCAATTGCTTAAAAAGACTCGGTGCAATTAATTGACAGAAATACATTTGACTAGATATCGATTAATCATCGAATGCCGTTACAACTTCATACTCCCTCTACGTTCTTTTTCAAACGAGCAAACTTTTTTACTTTGATGTAACACATTTTTCAATAACAACGCTACCGTTCAGTACACGTGGAAAAGGGGAGAAAAAAAATTGTCAGACGAAAAATCCTTTACCCTATTACGCCGTTACAGAAATGTATTAGAGATCCTAGGAACGGTTCCTGCGATATTTAACATCAAAAGTACAATTTTCGGTTTTGCTATCTGTCGATGGGAAAACTGTTAAGGGGGAGAGATGGTGAGCGAGTGGCGGGAAAATGCCATCACCCGAGGGGGCGCGGAAAAATATTACTTCGTCATATGTTTCTCTGTCGATACGTCAACCCCAGAGTTAGCCTCGATGGAATCGACGTGTTTCGCGTCGGTCACTGGGGTTGCTTTTGCCGAGTGCAAGCGCACATTCCCTCCCTTCTCCTCCCCTTCCCCGCTCCGGTTCTATACAACTTCGTGAAAATCGTGCACGTCAAGCGTCGTCGGGAAGACTGTCTGCGTCGTCCGTCGGATATATCTCGTGTCTCAGACGACGCGTATCGTCGCGATGCCGCTTTGTTACCTTCTCGGATCTCTTCGCGACGCTCCGATAAATGTGACGGAAGGCTACGTGTCGTTTTGCAGAAACGGAAAGAGAGAAAAAGAGAGAGAGAGAGGAAGGGAGAGAGGGGAGGGGAGAAACGGCGTTGAAATGAGCTACGCGGCGAAACCTGGTCTTTTTATAACGATTGAGTTTCGATATTGGTGACCTACTTATTGCAGTCTGACCTGTGTTAGTTGAGCAAATAAAATCATAGTTAAGGAAAGAGCAGAAATAATTTCACATTTTTGGAAATATTACGTTGCAAGAAATTTCAAAAATCTGGAAATCTATCTGTTGTGTTTGAGAGGTCACGAGAAAAAGGTACGCTTAAAAAATATATAAAATATCTTATTTGAAAAAAAAATAAATAAACTTTGGAGCACGGCTCACCAACGAGAATTGCATTATCGATAACGTAACATCAATACTATGGAGCAAGTAATTCAATCGTTGGCTGGTAATGAAACGCAAATTAATTAATGAAAGTGTGAGAATATTACTTATTTAAATGATCGGCCGTTACGCCAGGTTGAATAATTAGGTACATATATCTACAGAACAGTCAAATATTTCCGTTAATCTCACATTTAAATTTACTGGAAAAATGCGTGCTCGTCGATAAAACAATTCCGGATATTCGTTAATGACAAATGTGCTCTGAGAAAAAAAGAAACTTGCGAGTCGATATATATACATATCGATTGAAATATGTTATGGTATTATATTAAATGATATTCAAATAAATGTGCAATTATTAAAAAAAGAATTTCACTGTAATTACAAGGCAGTAATCTAATTACGAACAATAAAAAATAAAATAGGGCATTCAGTGATTAAACTGTAAATTGTCTTTTATTTTGAATCACTTTGCCTCGAGGGTGAATTCCAAGCTCCCCTTTTAGTCGTTTGTTCCACCCTTCGCCGTTCCCGAAGCGGAAACTATTAATTCTTCAGTTCAGGCTGCGCGATTTTGTAAAATATTGCTGCATGACGTCGGCGTAAATAATAAATCTCAGACGGGACGGTATAAGAGGGGTGAGAATTAACCTGGAAATCTTGCGGGGAAGGCGACGACTCCTTCGGCTGGTCAAGACTTGGGCTCCGTGACGGGCTCGGCGCTCTTGTGCCCAGCTCGTAAATGTTGATCATGTGAGCTGCCTGGGCATGGACCATCAATTCCCAAGCACTTGGAAAGGATAACTTGCAGAGGACGCAGAGCAACGCCGTCGTCGAGTCTCCTGTTCGCGTGGAAGCGCGCGGGACGTTAATAAATAAACTAAAGGCACCGTTGTGATGTCACACAGTGAGCCACAGTGAGGGCAAAATAGGACAAAACTGCAAAAACTGATTTCTCTCGAAACGATGTCATGTGCAGATAAATATTAGATTGATCTCAGGACAATTCTTATACAAGTTTTGAAATGAAACACATAATGTGTATGTTAGTGCTGTCAATCTAAATTATTTGCAAGCGAAATTTTTCTGCTTTTAAAGAAAAATTTAAAGTGACAACGCGATTGATTTATTAACTTTGTCTTATTTTGTCCTTTTTTTTGGTTCAACAACATAATTCGAGCCGCCGTAAGGAAAATGGAATTTGTTCAATATAATATATATTTTTTTAATTAATAGAAATGTAACGTCTAAAATTGTTGTTTGATTTACGACAACAACACACTCATTTAATACGTTCATTTTAACGGAATATGATGTAAAGGATTTTACGCGATGCTCATTTTGTTTAATTTAATTCGCCGTGCAAAAAGGCATAAATTTGTCATCAATTACGTCAACCAATTAATTCCAAATTTAATAAATGTAAGTAATCTGTTTTAATTTAAATAGGTATATAAGTTCTGATTGAATAACACACAACGACATCGTAAAAACTTATCGAACTGTTAATTACGATCGACGAGAATTAACCACCGATATTAAAATGATGTGCGATGGGCAATTATTAATTCTGGATCTTCCGGTGGGATTCGGAGCGCGTTTACGTACCGGAAGGAGGCGCCTCGAAGTTTATTTCGAGTACATACTTGGGGCGGCTCCGTTGAAGGTGTGACATTTACATGTGAACCGCAGCTTGCAGTAGTTCCGCTTGTGCTCCAACAGCTCCCCGAGTTCCGTGAACATCTCCCTGCAGTTGCCGCAGATCAGTATATCTGGATTGCCTACGACATACCTTCAATTAAACCCAGCCTTCATTGCTCGACAAGGCTTTGGGACTCTGTGTTACAAGGGGGTAACTTATAAACTTAGACTTTAGAGAATAATCATATTGCATCATAATAATTGTAATGTCAGCTGATTATAATTAAAATATATATCACGAATTTCTTTTTACGGAAAAATATATGCTTAGATATTAAATTCATCAATTCGCCTTTACTAAATCCAAGTATTCAGCTGTGTGAAGTTGCTCCCCTCCCCCCCCCCCGTTACTGAAAATCCACTAATGACCATTACCAATCGATTGGTGGTCGTTTAGTAGTATTTGGTAGTTTATTCTCGATAATTGGACTACCAAACGTTAGTAAACGATCACCAAATGAATGTTTACAGTTATGATTACCTACGCAATCTGGAAAATCATATTTTGCGGGAAAGAAGAGGCTAACTTCACACGCGTATGACTTCTTTTCAAATTATTATTTACAACTTTGACTATCAATCATCGGGAATGGACTACCAAACGACCACCAATCGAATGGTAATGATCGTTAGTGGATTTTCAGTAGTGGAGGGGCCAACTTTACACAGTTCAAGTATTCGATTTTAAAGTGAAGAAAAACAGAAGAAGACGAAGAAGACTTCGCAGGACGAAGTATATCAAAGTGCATAATGAAAATGTACTGTCTTGAACGCGAGTACTTACTGTACACTTTAAGTTGATTCAAGTCGGGTATCGTGCCGGTATTTACCGCCGATTGTTGTTTCTGTAGCTTCGGATGCTGTGCTCGTGTCGGTGGCATCAAACGCGGCCGCTTCAACGGCGGTGCTAAACGCGGCGGAAATGCGGTCGACGCGTAGTAACTGCAAACAGAAGGATGTTTTGCAAAATACATTAGTGTATACATTACGTCAGATTTGTTCGCGCACTCACATACACACATACATGTACACAGTGCATGCGCGCGCGCGCGCGCATTCTCTCTCTCTCTCTCTCTCTCTCTCGCTCTCTCTCTTTCGCTTGCTCGCTCGAGCTTTCTCTTTATAGGGCTAGCTTTTAGCCCGTTGTTCATCACTCTTATACTTTGCATTCTGATATTATATGTTTATTATTATTCTTCTCTTTCATGTTTTACAATTAAATAAGAGTCTATGATACTCGACATCGACAACTTCGCAAATGAACAACCGTATAAGCCGCTTCGCAAACGAGAGCATTTCCTTGAATACATTTGGGTACACGGTGGAATAAATGTGCGGCATTAAATGCACTTTACAGAATCTCGCAACGAGAACTTCTTTAAAAGACTTCCCTTTGTCGCAGTATGTAATACGCCGCAATGGTGTTGCATGTCATTTTTATTTCGTTATTTTGTTTTCAAGAAAAAACTGTAATTCCTCTTATAACATTTCGCGCTTTCCCCTCTCCCCTTTACCCTTGAACATTTCATTTAAATAAGAAAAGTGTGAATGAGTTGTGAATAAGCCTTTTGCGCATAATCGAGTAGAATGTGTTCAACTGTTATATCTAAAATAATTGTATTATTAATAAATTGTAATATATGTACATTGCTCTTTTCTACAATGATTCAGTTAGCCGCCGTTATCAGGCAAAGGATTCCGCCGGAATTGGAAGCGTCAGCTTTAAGGAAGCTAAAGCGATTGTTGCTTTAAAACTTCGAAGGTGGAAGCACGCGGTAAAATAAATTAGATTTGAATAATTCAGGATGTATCCGATAATGCGGTTCCCGCGAATTAAGATCGAATTACCTCGAGATTTTTCCTTCGATGGTATCACTTTGCGGGGCCAATATAAAATGCATATCGTATAATCGCCGCGAGAGGAGAATCGATATCTCACGCATGATAAAAATGTATAAAAACGTCACCGTTGATTATACCGGTTATATGTAACTGAAAGCCGTTTTTGGAAAAGTTTCACTCGCGAATCGTTCCCTCGCGAGCGATCTTTCGGCGAGCGCGATGATAATTATTCTATTACAATAATAGAGCCTGGTACGCTCATAGTCCATTAGCCGCAATCGGCGAACGGTAACGAGGGCATACGATATTCTTATTACGACACGCAAAATGTGTGAATATCGAGGGCCATATCATGGCGGATGGATTTTGCACGAGCGGATTTCGCTTTACGGGAACGCAATGCGGGGAATATAACGCGCGCGCGATTTTACGACGTCAGAACTGCCGCTTGCCATAAATACCGGGGGAGATGCAAGCTTGCAAATTGCGTCCGTTTGCGCCTCTTTTTTTTTTTACTTTACGAGACGAACGCGTATTCCGCGCACCTTTGATTGGATTCACGACGCTCGAAATGTCGTTTTGAAAATTTTCTCTCCCCCTCCCTCCCCTCCGCCGGAGGAAAGAACGGTCATGTCCGCGTCGTCTTTTTTTTTCGAACGTGGACAAATGACACTTTTATGGAGCAGAAATTTTGGACGATTTAATTTCTTTATCCACCCGGCGAGTACGCGGGGATTAAAATCTTTGCTGCATCAGTTTATCCTCCAGATTATATTTTCTTTTTTATCTTCTTTGTGCGTTATACTTTATTTTCTGCTCGTTTTAAATCACCATCAATCACGCCGTGATGTAGGTATATTTAACCGCTAAATATAAAATTGTCGATATGAGACTCATCGCTCACTCGCGTACGCATGTCATACGATTACACAATGTGCTCGCGAGATATTTCGTCTTTTAAATACTTGTATTAAATCCACACGATCCATATAAAGAATGATCTGTCGTTTTATGATAAAAAAAATATATATCAAAACCGTTCGACGTAAAAGGACGCAAAAGCTTAACGTGGAGCCCCGCGGATCGTAAATAAATAAATGTGTACACATCAGATTTTTCTTTAGAAGATATTTTCATTGTTGATTTTCTTCTTTCGTTTACAATGCATTTACGCAGTGTCGCGACATTAAGTACATAATGAATAGGAATCGGAAGTTGCTCCGCCGCGGCGTATTTGCACTGATATCAGATACACACGCCACTACGTACATAAAGCAATTCAATCATGTCACAACAATGCGCAGAAAAGTAATCGATATCTAGTTCTCTATTGTTATTGTTGTATCGGTTACGTAGCCGATCTCAACGTCTCCCATGCAAACAACGGTATAAAGTCCTGAATCCTGACAATAAAAATATCATGTTACTGGCATATGCCAATGCTCACGTCGTTGTTGTCGGGGGCACTGCCGATTCCTGTTCGCCGGAAAATTTTCAACGTTTGATTTTCACCGCGGTGAAAATCAAACGAAACGAAAATCTCAAAAAATTAAAAATGTCAGCAGAAATCTGACAGCGCGCTTTTATGGCGTATACTGCAATATTTTATTATTTCAACTTTATGCTGTATTATTTTATACGTTTGATGGCTTTACATTTTTTTTTATGACTTCGTACATATCGTTCAAATTTCAACGAATTAGATTTTATTATATATTTTATATAGGATTCGTTCCATTTTTTTTCTTGAAGGATACGACAGTCGAGGGGAAACGTAACAGACCATTCTGATAGTCTCGTGAAGAAAAGTGTTATTTAAGGATTAAATCGGTGAAGGGAGGGACGGGGAGTGGGAATGCGCGCGAATTTGTGCCTCCTTGCCGTTGTTAAAAGTTCTTTTAAGACGAGTTTTGCTCTCTTTCCCTGGAAGTCGCGAATAATAGCAGAGAGGTTGAGACAGGCGAAAAGAGATGATCGGGAAGCGATGGGAAAAGACCTACAAGGCATCATCTTCGACGTTGTTCTATGTTCTTTCCCATTGTGTTTCAACAGTTTAACACTTAACACTTTCCGAAGTACCATCCAATTATCAGCCAAGTCAGCTGTTGCCTTCCCAGTGGTCACTCGACAATCTTTGTTCGACAAACTTCTCGTTCTTCTCTAAGTTATTGCAAACATATTTGAATAAACGTTTGACGATCGAACGTCGAATGAAGGGATTTACACGTAGAGATTTAGAAAAAAAGTTATCTAAAAAAGAACTGTGCTTCACGTGACATACAATTGTCAGTTAAGTTGAAACTTTTAATTTCAATTCGCATCTCTTTTGCGCGCGGAAAATTTTAGAAGCCTTAAATAATTTTCCCACGGTCTTCCAAATCGGATAAATGTCGACTTGATTGCCAATGAATCTGGGTCATTCGCATATGTAAAAGTCTAGTTGCATCAAACGTTACGCCATCAGACATCTGTCCATTTTGAATAAGGCTTCTAATTGCCGTAATAGACATAAGTAGGTTAGAACATGTATTATTGTTTCATGTTAGACCGTTCTTATATACACACATACATTACATACACACGAGTAATGATTTCTATCGAATCCATATTGAACTCTCTTAACACGGTATAACATACCACAATTTAATCTATCTCGGCACGAATCGTAAAGCAGAATCCAGTAGCGAATTCAAAACTCGTAAAAATGTCGGGGAATGGTGCGCGCGCGGTAACGTCCAATCTCCCTGTATATAATATTCTATGTTATTTTAGATTCCATACTGTTTAATCGAGCGCGCTCAATCTCGGGTCCGGGGACGACGTGCCCGCCCGAAAAACGACGCCGACGCCGACGGTCGTCCACGTCGTCGCGTCTCCACTTTATACGGTGGCGGCGGCGGCGGCAGCTCTCTCGGATATGCATGTATTCAGATTAGACAACGCGGAGGGAGAATTTGTCGGATAAATTCAACCGGGGGTAGTGGCCGGGGGCCGGCTCGCGCTCCCTCTAACACACTGGATTTCATTAAAATTCATTCGGCGCGGCAAGCTGTCACACGCGCCACGGATGTACAGACGGACGAGCGAGCTAATAGGCTTACCGTGTTACTACAAAAGGCGCCGAGCCCCTTCTCCCCACTCGAGCGGATTGTGCAGCGCCGTGGTCATATAAATTAAATATAAATAATGTACGCGATGTAAATTGAATTAGATGACGCGTGTCCGCCTCGCGGTCACAAACGCCCTTGTACACGTGTACACTCGCTCGAAAATGTAAACGATCATTAAAGCGAGTATTATCGTTGCGTGTGAGGTCTGGTGAATTAGCATAAATTGAGCGAATCGAAATAACAAAGAGTCGGAATAATTCGAGAGAGATCGTCGATACAACCGTTTCCACGTGACGTATAACAAGTCGATCACGCGTCACGAGCAACACGGCAGTATCGCGCCCGCCGCTCTTGTTTCTTACTCCTCATTTTTACCCGATCCAACGTCGATAAATCATGCATTTTTTTATCAGAATGCGTCAAGACATCGTCACAATGTACGCTCGGCGCGCCGGACAAAACCAGCCGGTCATATTTTACTATCGCAAGTATCACGATTTCCCGCTCATCCCCTCGAAGCCATAAATAATATTTCTGTCGGTGGCCAGGTCGGCGTTTTCCCGCAATTATTGCGTCTCTCATAACCGACGTCATAATTCTATACCATAACGAGGCCATTCGTAACCCTCCAATCCCACCCACCCCCCACCCCCGCCCTCTATCCACTCTTCCACTTCATTCTGACATTTTTTTACGCGCGTGCGACCTTTTACGAGATGACGGCGACTAATGGCAGCGTTGCAACAAATACGTGGCGAAGCGATAAATAAATGTAATAGCGACGGAATGATGACGACAATAATGACAAACGCGTTGTGAAATCGTCAGGAATTGTCCCGCTATTTGTAAACCGCAGTTGTACTTCGCGAGCACATTTCGCGATTACATTTGAACGATGTTCCGGCCAATTTTTGACGGACAATGTTCGAAATCACTTATTTGAAAAATTAATGATCTTAAGACAGCTAGTAGAATACGTGAAATAGCGCT